CACCCGCCGCCGTGGCGACGGGACGTCATTAATCTTGGACGCGATGGGCTGGCCATAACTACGTGAACGCGGCGGCGGCGGATACCGCAGGCAACGCCGCGGAAGGATAGGACCGCAGAGCAGCCACAGCATCCAACGGTATAAATAACGAGCCCCCGACGGGCGCCCAGCGTTGTCAGCATCAATCAGAAAGCTCGTTAATCTTTATTACCTCATCTCCACCGCGCACTGCTGACTGCGCATATACGTATATTATATATATATATATATATATATATATAATAGGTGTATAATAATATATATACCTATAATATATATATATATGACGACGGCGGTGGCGATGAAGATGGGTGATGGTCGCGGGGTGATGTAGTGACGGCGTGCAGCAAGGTACACCCCGCGGCCGAAGTGGTGCGAATATCGCCCCCCACCCACGATGTATATAATATCACTACAGTTCATGATATTATAATATAATATAATATTATGTGGTTGGTAGGTATTAGGAATTATATTTTTACGATCCGTATACAGAGCGATTGCAGTGAACGTGCCGTACATAATATATCATTATGTTGAATAACACTATATATATATATTATAAATCTATACCACCGATATAAGTACACGTATTATAATAAGTTTCCTAGTCTTGTGTAGAGACATTCCGCGTTTATATTATAAAGCTGCAGAGGTGGTGAACCAAAAATGGCACGTACAAATTAAAACTGTGAATAATTATGATGTTCATAAAATATTGCTTGTGAAAAATTCAAAGCAACAAATTATATACACTTTAAAAATTATAATATTCCCATGCAAAATTGATTGTGTTTCTATATTATTATCAATATATTTATTATGTTCTATTAAGTGTTTGCAAACTTTGGCCGCGGGAAAAATTGTCGAAATCTTGATTGCAAAAATTAGGCACTAGACCCAAAAAAGGTTCGCTACCCCTGTTATATGCACTACGGTATAATAATATGAGTGAGATTTTATTTTGGAAGGAGTTTTTATTATATCAACCACACGCAGGTACCGCCTATACCGCAGTTTACAAACTCAATACAAATCCCTGAAATTCAGTTAGTGAGCTGTTTTCAATCATGCCGCACACGCACACGTTAGGATGGGTTGGTTTATGGTWAAGTGTCGTGCACCTATTTAATCRGCGGATAATGTGTAAAATATTTTATGTATCTTATAAGTAACTGAGGGGCGTTCATGGCGTTTGGTACATGTGATGGTTAAAAATAAATAAAATAACGCGTACTAATATAAATATGTTTTATCAAAGAATGATATAAGGTTAATAAATAATGATAATTGCCCAGCCGGCAAAATCTCACGGTCGTATTGAACTGCAGTTTGGTATGGCTATAGATCATCATTCATCAGATACATTGGTCGTTTCCGTTACATTATTGTTTTACGATCCTAATGGTATACAAGAAAATCAAATATATCCGTAGTACGTACAATATGAATAGT